TATATATATATATATATATATATATATATAAAGATGAAAATTGGACTAAAAACGAATTTGATTAAAAAAAAGGCTATTTTTGATGAATCTCTATTTAATATTAATTCTTACATATATACAAAGATCCGATTTAATTAACAATGGCGAGGTACTCTAAGAACCGACACCCGTCCAAATGATATGATGTTGAGTTGTTGACCGTTGACTGGGGAAAACATTAAGAAGGCAGAATTAGTCAACCATTTCGGCACCGGGGTCAAAGCGACGTGGGTCTAATCGTCTTCAACAAATCCACGTGAAAAGATTCTCTCATATTCTTCTCATAAATTATAATTTAAAACTCCTTTTTTTCTTTAAAAACGCCACTCACATGAATCAGATTATTTACCCCAAATCCGTACGTAAATATATAGGTGGAGGTTTAAACAAGATTATCTTTATTTTATAAGAATGTGAGAACATTTTTATTACATGTGATAATATGTGTGAGAAGACCTTGTGATGTGTTGACAATATGTTCTACGACTTAGACCGTGCCAAAGCTAAATGTTGTCTGCGTCTATGATTTAACATCATATGTGATGATATTGATGAATTATAGTATTATATCAACAACACTCTTATCACATATGATAATACTTGTGAGGGAGCTTAGGGTGCGTTTGGTATGCAGACTACATGGGACGGGACGGGACAAAAGAAAATAGTCCCATGTTTGGCATGCCATGGACAAAAATTTCATGGGACAAGATGAGACTATTTTTAAATTTGATGGGACAAAACTTGATGATTTTTGTTCCATCAAAAAAGGTGGAACAACATGGGACTAAATACAAATTTACTATCTTACCCTTGTTTCCAATAGATTCCAATAGAAAACCTAATTACAAACCCTCCTTTAAGGGTAATATGGTCATTTTAACAGTTTTATTCTGTCATGTCCTAGTCTTACCAAACATGGGACAGACAATTAGTCATGTCCCGTCCCGTCCCCTCCCATCCTGTCCAGTTTAGTCTGCATACCAAACACTACCTTAGTGGTGTAAGGACGACTTGGCCCGCAACCAAAATCGCATCGAAAATCGTCCGTGTCTCTGATTTAGTATCACATGTGTATCATATGTGATGAAGTAATAGTATCACATGTGATTATCTATAGTAAAAAGGTGTTCTCGCATTTTCGTAAAATGAAGGTATTCTCGTTTGAACCATTCTCTCTCTCTCTCTCTCTCTCTCTCTATATATATATATATAGAGAGAGAGAGAGAGAGAGAGAGACTTGGGAGCACGTGAGACTCAATCCCATAAGATCATTTTTTTACACTTGAAACTTCACAGTAAAATGTTGTGAATGTAACCTTCACATTGTTTTTGCTATGAATGTTCTGTTTTTTTTACCTTCACAACGTTTTGCTGTGAAGTTTCAAGTGTAACAAGGTGGTCTCACGTATCTCACGAAAACAGTTTGGTCTCACATGAACCTAACCCTACATATAATTATATAGTTAAAATATTAATATATTTTTAGAATGTTATTTCATATGTAGTATAACGTATATTTATTGATACTCAATTTTGTCAAGAAACATGATATTTGCAATACAAAAAAACAAGATGCATATGAATAATATTAATTTAATATTAAATAATTTTTAAATAAAATTGGTTGATTTAGGGGTTGTTTATCAAACGCTTACCAAATTATATTATTTTATCGGATGAATACGGTAACAACATTAACCGGTAAAGACCATGACAAATAGGGGGTGCTCATGGGTTGAGTTGATCGGGTTGAAGACATTCCAACCTAATGCTTACGGTTTGAAAAATCTTTACCCAACCCAACCCAAAGCAAAGTGCAACCCAACGCAATCCAAACCGTACAAGTTGGTCGGTTTAGTCGGGTTGATACTTTGGTACATTAAAATATTATTCTAACTCTACTCATAATTTTTTTTCCATCATTAACCATTTGATACAACTTACCCATACTTTTTACGTATATCACATTCAATTAATTTTCTCAATTTACATATATATGTTCACAATTACTGAACATATATACAAATGAGTTATATGGAGATGTGAATAGATTGAAAATATGTATATAAAAAGAGCTCGTGATAATGTAATTGTCTAATGTATATATTAATAAAAATTCAATAATCATATTAAATCCAAGAAATAAAATGATATCGGGTTCATCGAGTTGAGTTGTGTTCAAATAATAATAACTCAATATCTACGGTTTGAATTTTTTTATAACTCGATTAGACATTGAATTGCTCCAAGTTAAGTTATTTCTCGTTGGTTTGGGTTATGTTGATCGGTTTATTGGGTTGGCGGATTTTTGAACACTCATAATGACAAAGATCTGAGAGGGTGTTTGTGATTGCTTATCTGAAATAACTTATGCTTTTATACAAAAACACTTATTAACTTATTATAAGTCATAAGAGTTTAATTTCTTTAAAAAAAATTATTACCGGTTTGGCACCGATATAAATTATCTATCCAAACACTCAAAAATGTTTATTACCATTATCACACCGAAATAAATCAATAAATTATTTTTATAAACAATTTCTAACACGTCTTCATTCTTACTTAGGTTTGACTAATATAAAAAGAGTCCAAGCACCGCTAAAGGGAGGTGAGCTGGAGAAAAGGGGTAGGTGTTGCATGTGATGGCGGAGCAGGATGTATAGCGTGGGGATAGATTCTTGGGGAATTTGGTAGGTGTTTGGAAGTACCAAAGACAACCGTGGATCAAAAATCAAGGGCCCTACTTTCTGGGAACAGATTTGTAGGCTGTCGCGTCTGCATCGTATCATATCAATTTCACCCATTTTGTTCTCATTTTCTTTTTATTTTTATTTTTTTCTTTCTAAAAAATATATTTTTTTGTAATTCATTCAAATAAGGGATTTTTATTCATTTATCGCTGTAAAATACAAAAATCGTCCACATAATTTGGGGTTTATGTAATTTTAGTCCCTATAGTTTAAAATTATACAAAATTTCTTGTGGTTTCAGTTTTGCTTTGAATTTGGTCACCGGCTTTAATGACGATTCAATTACTCTTGTTAAGTCACTTGAATATCCAACTCACTATGTAAGCCGATTAATCCTAGGACGACTACTTGCTTTGCAGATAGTCCGTAGTCACCGCATTTGAACATCCGTGACCACAAGAGGATTTTTGTTTCTTCTTGTATTTGAACCTAAGACCTCAAGTCACTTTACTTTAGTCATGCTAGGGTATTTTGGTAATTTTCTATATTTTTAATTCTTTTGGATATATAAAAGAAATATATGTAATTGTGTAAAGTATTTATAGAAAAAAAAAAACAAAAATTACAGCACACATACCCTACGATCGGCCCTCCACCTCCTTCTCCGACAAGATAGGTATGATTTATCAATCAAATTTTTAGCTATGGTTTTTTTTAATCTGGTGAATCTGATTGTACATGCTATAAAAGTACTAAGAAAGAAGGTTCAATTGACCAAGAAGCCTTTGGCCTAGCGGTATCATAGTTTTTGGCCTCCTAAAAGATTAGAAGCACCAAAGTTGAGGAGGGTATGTGAGTTTTTTTGTTGCATTTGTCGTACATAAATATTATATACTTCAAAAAGAAAAAGGTTCAATTGTGTATGAAGTTTGGAATCCGATGGATCGACTGGAGTCCAGGCGTATCTACTGCTCTTGCGTAAATCAAACAATTATATATAAATCTATATGCGTATGTGTGTGCATACGCACATGAACATGAGTGTTACTAACTTATACAATGAGAACATTAAAAACACAAATGAGGTAAATCGACCAAATTGCCCTCACATGAAGGACACTAGCAAAACCAATTTATAGTCGTTAGGATGATGGATCCAAATCCAAAGCATAATTAAAACCGCAATTAAAAATAAGGAAACGTTTGGTTTGATGGAATGGTTTCAGAGGATTTGGATTTCGTGGTGGAAGGATTTGGAATTTAAGAGATTTGGATTTGAAAGAATTTATGATTCTTTTATGTGTTTGGTTTGTAGAATTTGAAATGACATTGAATTCAATATTCTTTATAAAAATAAAATATAATGAATTATAAAAATGATTAAATTACTTTTATATTAATTGATTATTAATATAAAAAATAAAGCTATTAACATATTTTAAAACATTATTACATACAAATCCTACGAAATTCCGTTAAATACCAACCACTCCATTGGATTTCAAAATCTTTTATTTGTAATGGAAATATTAAGAAATAGTAAATTGTATGAACTTAGATAAGTCACAAGTAAGTTCAGGGCTGTCCCCTTAACATGTTAAATGTGAGATTTTGAACAAGACCTCCAAAATTTTGGGGTCCAAATTTACATATGTTTAGGGCATGTTCTGTGTAAAACTATAGCCCAAACTGTTTAGATTCAAATTGTTAATTGCTTAGGTTTAGATTCAAATTGTTAATGGTTTAGGTTTAGGTTCGGTTCAGATTGTTGATCTTTTAGGATTATCGTCCTTTTGTGCTTAACATATATGTATCATTGTTATTTCTTATGCAATGCTATCAAAAGTTCTGGACGTAATAGGGCCTCCGAAAGGATCGGAACGTCCCTGTAGGCTGCAGATAAGATGCCTAATGTGAGGATCTAGCTGTTGTTTCATGCCTGGATCACCAGCTAAGGCCCCTAAATGACTGCTTAGTGATAAAGAAGGTAAGGGTGCAGAGACAGGCAGGAGGTTTGTTGAAATCCCGAAATTTCAAATCCAACAAATTCTTAAAACCGAACGTGAGATTGAAATTGAATTCAATTCTAAACTCTTTTAAGGGACTGTTTGACAGTTGTTGAATGATTTGATGCAAAATGATTAAGTGGTCAGAATGATTAAAATGCTCTCATGATATAGTGCAAAATGAAATATAATTGTTTGATAATTATTTACAATGAAATTAGGACGTTGAATGGTTAAGAGAGACCTATGATGCAAAATCATTCACAAGGTGTTAGAACCATTAAGAGGTAGACTTTTTTTTGCCAAACAAGATTTATGTCTTAATGATTCAGAGGCTCCCTCTTAATAGAACAATTAAGAGGTAAACAAACAACCCCTAAATCCAATCTAATTCAGTCCTGTAAATTAAAGGGGACCTTAGTAAAGTTTAAAAATAAATAAGGTTTAAATTGTAGAAACGAAAACTATAAGGACTAAATTTGTAAATTTATTCCTATTTATAAGAACACACGAAAACAACGCCATACTAGCGACCATACCTTCTTACTATCTCCTCACACATTTTACTTATCTCTCTCTCTCTCTCTCTCAACACACACACACAAGCACGAACTGTTCGTTTTTCTCTCACTAGAATGCATTGCGCAACAAACTACTCGCCGGAGCAACTGCCGATCGGCCACCGGTAGTCAAATTACAGAATGGGAAAGACATCGAAATTCTTCAAATCGCTTTTAGGATTCAAATCCACCGGCGCACAGCCGTCGGGTTCAGACGGTAACAAGCAACCAAAGCGACGGTGGAGTTTTGTGAAATCGCGCAGAGAGAATCAGAATCCTACACAACGAAACAATTCCAAATCTGTCGTCGGAACCTCATTCCATCATAATCATCATAATAATTCCGATGAGAGGACGGAAGGCGGCGAGAGAAACGACTCAAATGAAGATTCGAACAAGCGTGCGATTGCACTTGCTGCGGCCACCGCTGCGGTTGTCGATGCGGCCTTGGTAGCAGCTCAGGCTGCCGCTGAAGTAGTACGGATGACTAGCAGAACCACCGGCTACGGCGTTCACCACGAACTGGCTGCCGTCAAAATTCAATCGTGTTTCCGAGCTTATCTGGTACGTTACGCTTTGATTCATATCATCCTTTCCTAAAACCAGAAATCAACTTCGATATAGTTGCAGTATGCCAATATCTATCCTCAATCACCGTTAAGTTTTGAGGGTAGTTTCGTCTTATCCAGAGGAGTACTGTCTGCATATTCGTGTCGTTGTGCTAAATTAACGGTAAACGTCTCAATAATTTCTCTAAGATAGATAATAAATTAGACTCAACTAACACTAAGAGACTTTGCTTAAAATTTCATTATTAACCATATTGTTTAAGTATTCTATAATTTATGACTTCAAAAGACTTTATTAAATATATTCATATAAAATAATATTAATTTAACCTCATTGATGAAATGAATAAAAACTAATTCCAAGAGAGCTCAGATCGAATCGGTATTCTATTGTTTCATTTGAGACCTTGGATAGTGGCCCTTCCAGTGGGGGGCTCCCACGACGGGCTATTAGCTCAGTGTGTAGAGCACGCCCCTGAGGTGGCTTTTTAATTCCGTCGTCAAATCCCAGGACTTGACTTAGCACAGGTGGTAGAAACTACCAAAGGGCAGGGGGGAATTTCCGGAAAATCATTTCTCTCTTCTTTGGCGAGAATTTTAGAAAAAATTTCTCTATATTTGAAGTTCTTTTTTTATGTTTCTCTAAGTTAAATAACAAGATAAAAGAATCTCTTGGAACATTATAGAGAACAAAAACTTTATTTTCTATATTTAAAAAAATCTGTTAGAGATGCTTTTAACTTCTAAATTCTAAATTCTATTTTACATATTTTGTGATTGATAAAAATAGTAATAATAAATAACCACAAGGGTGGTGCGTTGGTTTGAGCTTCACTTCAAAGGTCAAAAGTACCTAAAGGTATCAGGTTCAAGTCCAAGGAGGAATAAAACATAAGCCTTAGAAGTCACTATCTGCAAAGCAGGTGGTCGCCTTAAAATTAGTCGGCTCTCATAACGAGTTGGATATCCAGGTTAATAAAATAATAATAATAAAATTTCTCATAATTTATAATTTATGTCATCATTTTTTTTTTAAATCATGAAAAGCATGAGTTTGTGAATGTTAGACCGTAAGATTTGGACCATTGTATGCGTTGGAACCTGCTTCTTTTATCGAGAGCTTTTTCTAAAGAGTAAATATGGAGTTCAATATGTTTTTACATGATATTAGTTCTATCATTTTAAGGATTAGTCACTCTCGGGGACTATGTACTTCTTTAGCTTCATCGACAATCTAGGACAATATGTGTCAGTTTAGCATCTAGCCCCATCGTCGTTCTTACTTACCGGGTAAGACTCTCAGTTTTTGTCTTCTTCTTACCGGGTAAGACTCTCAGTTTTTGTCTCCTTACCGGATAAGATTCTTGGTCCTTACATCCGGTAAGGTAATGTGATTTGGTAAGCGCTTACAGTGGCGGATCTATAAACTATTATGGTTGGGGGCACACTTAGGAGGGTCGAAATTTTTTCGAAACCGAACAATTCGTCCGAACCAAAAAAGGTTTCGGGTTTCCATTTTCAGGTTTAAACTGTTCGGTTAACCGAATAAAGATAATTAATGCGGTTGAAATAAGCTAGGCATTGACTCTACAAATGCATTGATGTGGTGAAGAGTGACTTCTAAAGCTTATGTTTTAATCTTTTAGTACTCTTCTTAAGATGAGCACCCAAGGAGACCTACCAACTAGGAATTATTCTTTCTGCCTGATCATATAATTCACAAATAACACTTGGATCTTTAATTGTCTTGCATACTGCTTTTYAACACAAAATTGCAAAATTAACCTAACATTTCCATTTGTCTAACATTTTCATTTTCCTACAAAATTAACCTAACATTTCCATTGGCAAAATTAACCTAACATTTCTATTTTCCTACAAAATTGCAAAATTAACCTAACATTTCTATTTTTCCTACAAAATTGCAAAATTAACCTAACATTTCTATTTTCGTACAAAATAGCAAAATTAACCTAACATTTCTATTTGTCTATAAAATTGCAAAATTAACCTAACATAAAGCATTTACCAAAATACCAAATCATCAATTGTGAAGCAAACAACAAATCATCAATAAGCAAACAACAAAATCAAAGAAGTAACATTTCCATTTGCAAAATTAACTTAACATTTGACATTTTCATCTGATTTGCCTTCAAAATTGCCTATAAAACTAACCTAACATTTGACATTTCCATTTGATTTGCCTACAAAATTGCCTATAAAATTAACCTAACATAAAGCATTTACCAAATCATCAATAAGCAAACAACAAAATCAAAGAAGTAATCAAAATTAAAGACTAGAATTTGGAAATTAGAATTTTTACCCAAATTATTTGCTTTAATCCAGTGACTCCAACTCCAAGTCTCCAATTCCAGCCGCGCCCACAGTCGAAACTCGAACTCAAGAACAAGATAAAAATCAATGGTTTAGCAACATTTTTATTTGCCTACAAAATTAACCTAAAATTTGATTTGCCTACAAAATTGCCTACAAAATTAACCTAAAATACCTAACCTAAAGCATTTACCACCAAATCACCAGTAAGTTATAACTTATAAGCAATTAGCAAACAATAAATTACAAAATAAAAGAAGTAATTTGGAAATTAGAATCTTTACCCAAGACCAAGAGGCGACTGGCGAGAGGCGAGAGCCGAGAGGCGACTGGCGAGAGGCGAGAGCCGAGAGGCGACGCCGACTGGCGAGAGGCGAAGTCACGAAGAAGTAGGCTGTAGGCACTAGGCAGCGTCGCAGTCACAGGCTCGCAGCGATGATGAAGAAGAAGTGGCCTGAACTGAAGTCTCGTGAGTGATCTCGTCTCGTCTGTCCCGCTGTGCTATCCGTCGTCTTCAGTCTTCACTCTCGTTTCCGTCGTTCGTTGTTCAATCGTTCCCGTCGTTCGTTGAATGGTGAATATCAAACTGGTAAGTGAAGAGGGGCCTCTTACCTCATGATGTTGGGGGCCCAATTACACTCAATTAAAAAATACGAGCAAAAAAAATTTGGGCTTTATAAATTAGTTTTTGTTGGGGGCCCAAAACCCCAACCAGCTTCAGCCTTCAAGTACATCCCCCTGAGCGCTTACCCGAATAAACGTTTGGTAAATGATCCCTAAAGAATAATTTTATTAACGACGTTTCAATGTTTTATTGATTTGTAAATTACAATATTATAAATTATACTCTTTTATGTAGAACAATATTTTGCATAACAGTTGATTTCTATTTTGGGACAGAAAGAGTGTTCATTTGGAATATTGTGTAAGATGGGCACAGATTCTGATATATTGTCACTAAAACTGATAATCATAATAATCAGATTTATGAAATATTTATATATATTTTTCATAGAATAAAACAAAATAAAATTTAAGATATGATTGTATTTTGAATTATTGGAAGAACATGATAATAACATATGTCCCATGCATTTAATGGGGTTTGTTTTGTTAAGATGGCAGGTAAGTTGTCATGGTCTTCTCCTAAAATTGGAACACATTTCAACTTGTATTGGATGGCCACTTTCTTTTTGGGGGTTTTATTCACATATTTATTAGTAATATTCCATAATTAAATGCACAAACAATATCTCAATTATTGACGTGATATAATATTATCTGATTTTATCTCTCGTTGTTTTAGTACAGGGATAAGCTACTTGCATTTCCTATATATTGTTAACAGCATCCATAATGTATTTTTTAGTGAGGTTTTTGAGAGGTCTTTCATGAGGTTTTTAACATAGTGAGAAGATTTTTAGTCAGACATCATAACTGCACGACCTATTTTTTCAAAGATTTTTCATATTTAATCATTTTTAGGTTTAATATGCTTTTGTCTGAAGGGGTTCTAATATGAGATATGAAACAAGGCCCTCAAAATTTGTGATTCAGTTATATATGTTTTAGCCTTAACCGGTTATACATGTTTTAAACTTTGGTCCAATTATAGTAACTTTAATTAGGTGAAATTTCATATGTTATAATGTTATTTTAAGACATTTTTGTTACTTTAATTTATAAGAACTTTAATACAATATATGATATGATCATTTATATTTTGTTTTATTTATTTACTCGTCCAATCAATTATAGTTTTAGGGGTGTTTGGGATTGCTTATTTGAAACAACGTAGTTTTTCTACAAAAAATGTTTATTAACTTATTATAAGTTAGAATGGTTTAACTTTTTCAAAAACTTCTTATTACCGATTTGGCACCGGTATAAACTGTTTATCCAAACACTCAAAAATGCTTATTACTGGTGTCACACTGGAATAAGTCAATAAGTTGTTTTTATAAGCAATCTCAAATACATTAACCTCCAGAAAATATTTGAAATGTCAATGCTTTCCAGTAAATTTGGATACATAAAAGTTAGTGTTTTATATATACAACGATGGCTTGTTTGTTAGCAGCTTTATAATCTTAATAAGATACGTAATTTATTTAGTCAGTATACATGACTGTTTGGTGGTGGCTTAATGATATTGAAATAGTCTTATATAATAAGCTTTTAAGGGAAACTTTATGCAAAAAGAAAAAAAAATTCCCGAACCTATCCCATCTAATTAAAAAAATGCTCAAATAAAAACTTTTCAAATATATACAGATAGATTTATCCATACAGACTAACTTTATTCATAAATTTGAATGTGTAGGCGAGGAGAGCGTTGAGGGCATTGAAAGCACTGGTGAAGCTTCAGGCGGTGGTGAGAGGTCATATTCTAAGGAAACATACCGCCGATATGATGCGGCGTTTGCAGGCGTTGATACGGGCTCAGGCACGTGCACGTGCACGTGCTTTGTCCACCAAATCCTCTTCTCATTTTCACCACCATGTAAGTTTCTTTCTTTTTTCTTTTTGAATTTAAATTCTAAATATCCATCTTTTTGTATTTCCGTACAAAGAAATCTATACTACGATAATAATCGTTCTACTATGTCTAAATTAGAGATTATAAAGCCCGGACTTCTTTTGACGTGAACCCAGACCTTTTAAACCTTTCTTTAGTGAGTAGAAAAAGACCTGGGCTTTAGACCCATATCACACTTTGGGTCGAAAAATAGCACTTTTTCAGTTAGAAAAAAGACCCGAGCCTTTTTAGGCCCAGGTGAGGCCTTGAGTTGAAAAGGGAGAAAAAGACTTCAGCTTTTTTAGGCTCATGTCAGGCCTTGGGTTGAAAAGGGTCTGGTTGGCTTTTTTAGGCCAAGTTTTTTCAGGTAGGTTTTTTTTTTGGATCAAACCTTCCTCCAAGGACCGGGATTTCTAGGTTTTTTCTGGTAGGGCTTGAGCCGAGTTTCAGACTTAAATATTTTTTGTGCATCTCTAATCGGGATGAGATATACCAAGCTCGTTATTACAAGAAATTTATTGTTGGTGTAACGATGTTCAGGTGGTTGTTGTTTAGTTAAGAACCCTCGATGGTAAACGCTTGTGGGCCATAAGCATTGTGTGCACATCCGGTGTGCGTACGTAACTTCATTGGAAAATAACTTATTTCATATTTGCAGGGGCCTCAAACTCCTGAAAAACTCGAACATTTTCCGCATGCTAAACAAGATCATCGACCCATACACAAGGTATGCTATAAGTATCATGTTTTTTTTTTTCCCATTAAATAGATAACACGACAACTAAAGTTTTATGTACTTGTTACTTACATGTCTTAATAAAATAACGCTAATGAGTTTCATTAGCGTAGAAATGGAAAGAATCTTTATGTTGCAAGTTGTCAAAAACATAAAAGGCAAATTGAATGAAAATAACGTAATTTTAAAATCTTTATTTTAGTATCTCAGATATGACATCTCAAATATTTAGGTACCCAATTTACATCTCAAAATGCATGAAAATGTAACGTACTTTGACTCGACTCTTATTTTGTGTAACATACTTCTGAAATCTTTATTTTGGTATCTCAGATATGACATCTTAGATATTTAGGTACCTAGTTTACATATGAGAATGMATGAAAAAGTAACGTACTTTGACTCAACTTTTATTTTGTGCGTAACATACTTTTAAAATCTTTGTTTTTGTATCTAAGATATGACATCTCAAATATTTAGGTACCCAATTTACATATGAAAATGAATGAAAACTTCACGTACTTTGATTCAACTCTTATTTTGTGAAGCACACTTTTAAAATATTTATTTTGGTATATCAGATATGACATCTTAAATATTTAGGATCCTAGTTTAAATTGTGTGAATATAAATACGTAACAGATGAATATTCTTGTTAATGTAAGTAAAGATAAAAGGAATTCAGTATTTAGTTTATCTGATTTTATTGTTTTCACGTTTTCTATTTCTTGAAGGCTAACATGTATTTAAACACGATAAGTTGAAGTTAACCTGACTGTATAAAAATGCAGAGGAATGGCTCAAAATCGTACGCCAACTATGGTTTAACTGATCACGAAAACGACAAGATCGTTGAAGTTGACACCGGAGAATCCCACGTAACAACTAAAGGAAGGAAGCTCTTTCAATTGGACCCGAACCAAAACAGTTTCGGGTATAGTCAAAGTTTTACTACTTCAAGAGGGTCAACGGTTCAACCAACGAGCTCGAGCCCTTGTGCTTCTTGCGAAGTGAATTCTATCGATTACTCCATCAAAGGCGAACTATCTACGCCCGTTAAGAGTGAATGCTCGAGAAGTTGCCTTAGTGGATACTCAGACCACCCAAACTACATGGCTAACACCGAGTCATCGAGGGCTAAGGTCAGGTCGCTAAGTGCTCCAAGACTAAGGACTCAGTTCGAGATTTCTAATGCAACAAAGAGGGATTCGAGTTCCAAATACGGTTCAGGTGGTATGCAATGGGTTCCGACCATTCGGGATAGTTTCGTTAGGAAGGCTTATCCGGGATCCGGACGGCTCGATCGACTCGGGATGCCGGTTTTGGCTATGGAGGAAAATGAGTTCTGTGTTGGGTATTGGAATTGATCCCAAGGGAGTGATGATTTAAAGTAAAAGCAGGAAGAAGAAAAAAAACATGTTATAGTTCTTATGAACCAAATTTAAATATTTACCCTCAGAATAAAATAATTTTATATAGAGAGATTTACGATTTTCAGTCACTATGGTTTGTTAATAATTTTGATTTTCGTTCATGTGATTTAGAAATTGCGATTTTCATCTTTATGGTTTGTAATTTATTGTTATCTTCGTCTCTATGGTTTGTAATTTATTGTTATTTTCGTCTCTGGACTAATTTTTAAGTACAAGGGATCAAAATAGTAAAGAATTATAAACTAGAGAGATCGAAATAACAATAAATTATAAATTATAAACATAAGCATAAAAATAATAATGAATTATATAAACCACAGAAAAATCACCAAATTTTAAAACATAATTTACTCTTTTATAAGAGTTCGTTATAGGTATGCAACTCGAAGCATGTAAGAATGTAACCAAAAGCTAGTCTCGAAACAGAAACCCAACATCGTTTAGTGTATATATATATATATATATATATATATATATATATATATATATATATATATATATATATATATATATATATATATATATATCATATGTGGGGTTTGTGTAAAAAGGTTAGTTATCGGCAACTTTCAAGTTAGCCCACACCATTGCATCCCAAAAGTATCATGTAAGAGACAAATCAGGTATACAACGACCTATTAGATAGCTGATTTTAAATGCATGGTGCTCACAAAAAGGCTAATTCCCAAAGGAATTGTAGCATCTGGATTAGGATTAATATGCTTAAATCATTCATCGCCAGTTATACCATCTTGAAATCAACTATACTACGCACTAAGAATATGAACATGTGTGGTTTTTTAAACAACCTTTGCTATATAGTAGATTCTCTATACTATAACTCTAAAAATAGTAAAAACAAGAGAAAACACCAAGTTTGAAGAATTCTAAATAATTTGATGTGAAGAGAGAAAAGTAACATTTTTAGGTTCGTGAAAGGTGCAATCGTATTAGTCTGTTGTGTGCCATCGTTTGAAACTACAATGAGAGCATGTTTTTTTTGGTAGAATTGGTTTGCAAGACTTTTATCTCACCCTAGACCCAAGTTCGAAATGTGTTATTGTCATTTTCTTAATCAAATGGTGTCACCGATTGATTTTTTTGTATATCTGCTTCTTAAAGTCAAACGGTGCCACCGTCTTAAAATTTTTCCCTATAGTTTTTCTTAAAGTCAAATGGTGACACCATTTGAAAAAATTTATAGTTCTGTCCCTGAACATTAGTGTAATGACTTTTAACTCGTCAATCGATATTAAATCATTTCTATACGTGTGAAGATGATTAAATAAAAAAAATTCTTCAAAGGATAAAGAGGTGAGACGATGTTGTCCAAATACAAGACAGGTCTCAGGTTCAACTCTGACCCCTTGTTAGTCTCGGCCACTAAGTGAACCAAAAAGATATCCCTTCACTGATATCCTTTAAGACAGGTTTCGTGTGTAATCGGTTGTGGTTGCCATTAACCTTTTGCCGAAATTCTTCAAAAGATAAAAATAATGTTTTTTGATGTTAAAATGATAAATACACATACGCTCTGCTAATTTCAACACCAAGATAAAAAAAAATATCAAAGGGTCTTTGACCTAACGATATATTAATCTTTGGCCTCCTAGCAAATGAAGGGTTCAAACCTCACAATATATGAGGAGGTTGTGTGAGTTTATCTGTTTACCGTATATAAATATTATATACTTACAAAAATGGAAAAAGGAAAAAAAGAAATGACGCAAAATATTAAACCAAAATTTTAGCCGCCCAATTCAATAAAGAAAAATAGACCACAATTAAACCCTTAACCATGATTTTAGCAAAACAAACACCTAATTTTTCTCCCGTTGCTGAATCTGAAAAAGATTCCGGTAAGGGGGGATTTAAATAATTCCTAACATCACCACCATGCCACCACCGGACCCACATCATCCACCGCCACCGCCACCACCACCACCGGACCCACATCATCCACCACCACCGCCACCGCCACCACCGACTACCGGACTCTTACGATGTTCCTACAAGAAAGGCAAACACGCCAAAGTCTTTCAAGCTGTTCGCTCTGTCTTTCGGTCATTCCCAATCGTGTCACCAACTACATGTCTAACCCCATTGATCCCCGTTGGCCGACTACCAGACGGCCAAGGCCAAGGCCAAGGCCACCGGACCACAAATTGTGTTACCGGGACTCTATACGGCTACAGAAACGGCCCTGTAACCCTCGCAATACAAGAGAACCCCAAAACGCCACCAATGATGATCCTAGAATTGGAACTCGAAACCGGCATCTTACAGACGGAAATGAGTTTAGGTATGGTCCGGATCGCGTTGGAATGCGAGAAAGAGCCGGAAAGATTCAAGGTGAAGCTTTTGGATGAGCCATTATGGACGATGTTTTTCAACGGTAAAAAGGGGGGTCTCGGGGTGAAGCGGGATGCAACCGAGGAGGATTTGAACGTCATCGAGTTGCTGAAGCCGGTGTCGATGGGTTCCGGAGTGTTGCCGGAAAAATCCGGCCCAGATGGTGAGATGATATACATGAGAGCCCACTTTGACCGTCTGGTGGGGTCAAAGGATTCAGAGACACTTTATATGATGAGCCCTGATGGGAACCGTGGGCCTGAATTGAGTATTTTCTTTGTACGGATATGATCTTCATGTTGGAATTGGATCATTTTTTCTTTTGTTAATGAGTGAATTTGGTTAGGGTTTGTAAAATATATTAGGAGGATATAAGACCTTGGATGGTTGTTTACGGTAGGATTTAATTTTCGATTGATTTGTATATGAGTGGTTATGATTTTGATTCGAGAGAATGCTTCTTGGATCCAGTGACGTATGAAGATGCGAATTGACGTCATCTCAAGCATCAACCTTGTTGGATTCCTACATTGACTAGATAAGGATCATGAAAACATATATATACAGAGAGAGAGAGAGAGAGAGAGAGAGAGAGAGAGAGATATTAGGTTTGTAAAGTTTTGTAGTAATTACATGGTTTGTATTTGAAACCCCCTCTCTCTCTACATATATATATATATATATATACACCTCGCATCTCCTCTCTATAAAGGTTCTTCTCTAAAGAGATTCAAAAGCATTCAATATATTCTTGCATAGTAGCCGGGGTCTACCAGGGACTTGACACACTATGTTCTAGAGGGAAGTAGCCTCTGTTTGAGGAGCGTGTTGAAGTCTCACATCGGCTAAATACATACCATCAAACGTGTGTGTGTGTGTGTGTGTATATATAGCATAACTATCTCTCTCTCTATAAGGGCTCCTTTAGAGAGAGATTTATAGGGTTTCAAATATCCTCACAAGATTGTTTCATGAATGGGAATTTACAATACGTAACAAAAACATTATTGGAAAGATGATCGTGGAAAATATGATATTGGAAGTTTTGTATTCAAAGGAAACATGTCGAAATACCGAAAAGACTAACAATGAAATTGTTCGTTTTGAAGACACAGGCCACACGCTCGGGTCAAACAGTCAAACAAGCCAACTTGGTCTGAGTCGGCCTCTCAAGTTTTTCCACAAGCGAGTGGACTCACACATTACCCCCAAATTCTTCAAGGGTATATACTAGAAAACAAGACATTATCGGGAAGCATTTGCAACCCTTGAAAGCAACAAAAGAAATATATGGAACTCAATCTGACTATTTATGGGTGGATACCTTGTATGTGTTGCTATTCAGGTTTGGAGCAGTATCCCCATGGATTCTGGCTTGCCCATTTCCATTGGTCTCTACACATCTCTTCTATCCCATATTTTGCCCTGTATATCAGACCCCAAAATCAGTTCATTTAAGCCAATCTCATAACTATAATATTAAGCAATTCTCCCTCCAACACAAAATAAATGTAAAAAGGCGCGGAATTTTAGAAATGTGTAATTATTAGACTTTTTAATTATTTAAATAACAAATTTTACCCTTAATAATAGAGGGTGTAATAAATTTTTTCATCTCATAATTAAGGGTAGAGTGGATAAACCAAAAAATCCGATCGGATTTCGGATATGAAACTGAATCCCAAATTTTGGGTTTCAGATTCGGGTCCAGGTACAATTCTAATGCAAAAAGTATATATATTCAATCGATTTTGAGGATGAATCCAGTCAATCGAAATGAATGATATAGAGACTAGTTTTGTAAATTATAAAAGAATACAACCGACTAGGATCTAGGATTTTCAAAGGATAATTAGATAAATAAATATATTTATATAATATTTGAATAATATTTCGGGTTTTCGGACGGGTTGGGTAGCCCAAAATCAAACCCAACCCGGACCGAATATCCAACCCCCCCCCCCAATTGACCGGGTTCCGGATTTCGGGACCAGTGGCGGATCCAGGAAATTAATGAGGTGAGGACACGTTGGATGGGATTTGGGGGAGGGAAGCATGTGGCCATATGGGACTGGCAGAAACCATATAAGACGAGGTGAAAATAGAAAATTTAAGCTAGTCAACAAAGGTTTTTGGTTTTTGACTGGGGGCCTTTCCCCCACAGTGTTTAAAGCTTGGATCCACCCCTGCTCGGGACATTCGGGTTTTGCACAAACTCCCTATTTTTCGGTTCAGGTTCAGATTTCGGACCATTAGGGTTATGCATACCCCTAAGAATAGGAACTAACGAAAGTAGTGGACTTGTTTCGGGACAAACTAGAATAGAAATACGGACACTTGTTTTGGGATGGAGAGAGTAACAACTTACTTCCATTGAAGCTCTTTCTCAGCTTTATCTGTAGATGCATAAACTTCTGTTGCATCTCCTGGCCTTCTTGGGCATAGTTTGATGGGAATTTTCTGCAAGAACATGTGGCAATATTAGCGCAGGCTTAGATTAGACAACAAACGTGTGTATCTTTATTTGACCGTATGTGAGAACCTTTCCGGAAGCTTTCTCAAAAGCAGCCACCATTTCAAGCACGGATGTCCCCCGACCGGTTCCCAAATTGCAGGCAAAACAACCTACCACAAGATGCAAATTAGAATGGTATGCAAATGCAGGATGACCATTTTGATTAAATGTAGAGAAGAAGAACTAATTACCTATTTCCTGTTTTGTGAAAAGCTTCTTTAGTGCTGCAACATGACCATCTGCCAAATCCATGACGTGGATGTAATCCCTGACCTATTAGCATCATAAACAAAAAAAAAATATTAAAAATAATCGAACTTCTTATTTTCTGCTTAATTGGCTTTTTGATGAACAAGTTATATAGATAATAGATAGACCAAACCAAACCAATATATCCCATCCGGAGGTGAGATCTGAGGAGGCAAGATAATAGATAATAACGTCACAAAATACATACCGCACTACCATCTTTTGTCGGGTAATCATGACCGTAAACATTTAGCTCGGGCAATCTTCCAACAGCGACTTGTTGTATGTAAGGCATAAGATTGTTTGGAATGCCCTTTGGATCCTCACCAAGTTTCCCACTCTCATGAGCTCCAACAGGGTTAAAGTACCTCAGCAATATAATTTTCCATTCTGAATCCGCCATATGAATATCTCGTGCAATTTCTTCGAGAAAGAGCTAATCAATAAAGAAAATTATTTCTCCATAAATAAGTTAGGGAAGAGATTCAATTGCAAGATTATAACTCATTTAAAAAATTATGCCATTTGAGGTTCATAAACAACTGGGAATATGGAATTTGTTGGACGTGGTAGGCAAATTGTTGAACCATACAAATATAGGACACCACTTTTTCCAAAGTCTCTTACTGAGTCAACTCTCAACTCATAGACGGTAACTATTACTGTGGCTTTGTGATTAATGATCCCAACAGAATTACAGGTTGACGACAAATAAAACATCTCAAGGGAACCAAGCTAATACCTTTGTGCGTCCATATGGATTCATGGCCTTCAACTCAAAATCCTCGACACATGGAATTTTTTCGGGCTGCCCATAAACCGTTGCTGAAGAAGAGAAAACCAACTGCAAGCAATCAGATTCATCTCATAAGTAAAAAGGCAACTGAAGTTGGACAAGATAATTGAGGAACTGGTTAGTCAAGGCTATCTTGTGGCAACTGTGACGTTTTTTCCTAATAAGAACTTTAGGTATGAATATAAAGAAGACATGATCATTCTGATCTTGCATCCTTTGAAATTCTCAAAAGGGCGAGATACAAGACCAATAATGTCAGAATTTTGATGGATTCAAATAGCAGTTTACTGCGAGAGAAGTTTTGGGCAGCAGACCACGCTCAATAATAGACGCTTATGAATGTGTTTCATGTCATAGAGTGTGAAGGGTTGTTGGAGAACAGCTTGCTCCTATCCAACCTCTTTTTGGAGTATATAATATTTATACACGACAAATACTCACGCACACTCTTCCGGTGATGTTTGAATCCTTGACCTCCTGGGAGGCTAGGCTCTACCGGTAACCTGGGTACCGCTAGGCCAAGGACCTTTTGGTACCCTATCCAACCTTGATAAAGGTTACGATGCATTTCCATGTATTTACAATTCCAGGTAAACCACTACCATGACATAATGGTGGTAACTCGAAACCAAAAACAGATTCTACACAGACCTTCTTACAATTGTACTTCTCCATGACCTGGTACAGAGTAATTGATCCAATCAAATTATTATCAAAATAACGGAAAGGATAGATCACACTTTCACCAACAGCTTTGAGGCCAGCAAAGTGTATCACAGCATCAAACCTATACCATCATATCACCAAAAGGTTACAGAAGATCATAGAAGTGCCCAAATAAACAAAGCAAATTCAGAATTCATAAAAGAGCCGATAGCTAGAATCAGTAACCAGCTTCTCATTCCAGATCCTTTGTGTATGCCTCGGTTCTTTTGAAAAAGTTGTTGAAAGGCAAATGGGTGGCAAGGAAATAAGACTGAATGGAAGTTACTGAATTATCATAACAGCATTTGGAAATAGAATAATGCAACTTGACATACTTATTGAGGGAAAATAACTTCTCTAAATCGTCCTTGTTCCTGATATCACCCTGCAAAGGAACACCATAATCACAACTTTTAGCCCATACTTGAGCCCTATAATGTGCTTGCTACTAAAGAAAAAAGATTAGCAGCTGAACTCAAGGTTATATGTTGGGACCGATAATCACACACAATAAAGCAGTGTGATATTTATGTGGTTCAGTAAAAATGCTTACAGCCACAGGGTTGCGAGGTTTGATTATTGATTCTTTGACTTGTAATACAGGCACAGGCACAAGTTCATAGAAAACTTGCAGCCTTTTATTGGTTTAGCATTCACATAGAATTTTGTACAAGACAGAAAAACATGTGTTTCCAACGGCAATCAGGACCGGATCTAGCGAAGTCAGGGACCCAAATTAGACTCCAGTAGTTCAACACCCAACATATACCACAAAGCACACCAATTATATCTTCAAATTCTGAAGGTGGCATAAAATTTGAATGCTAAGTTTCAATACCTTCATAATTCTAACAAATTAATGAAAATTAACTAACACTAACAAACAGTTCTCAGTGATCACTTTGAATTGACTAAATTGCATCTTCAACTCAAAACTCTAAACCCTACTGATTCATTACAAGCTCCAATCAGCGACAATACATCAAATAAATCTACATATCTCAGGATCATACCATGATTTGCACAGTTAACTTCAGTATTCCAAAATTTACATAAGATTCAAGGATTTCTTAACTTTCATCTTCAATTATTTTATAGTCCTCGCACACTTTCCCCTACTGAGTCATTAGAAGTACTAATCAGCGACAATATATCAAATAAATCTACATATCTCAGGACCATACCATGATTTGCACAATTAACTTCAACATTCCAAAAACAAATTAAATCAAGTAATAAATCAAAATTAATAAACCTAAACGACGCATATGACAAACGAATTTCAATTTTAAAGTATACACATATAAACTACGCAAATTTCATGAGGAGAAACTAAAAAGATGTTAGACATCAAAAGTTTGCCAAATGGAATTGAAGATTAAGTGAAAGCGCGGTAACGACTAAATCTCTGACTCTAAGAACAGCTTCTTCGACAGAATTATCAAGGTTATCGATAATGGTGACCTTAAACCCTTGATTCAAAAGTTGCACAACTGTGTGCGTTCCTATGAATCCAGCATCTCCGGTGACTAAAATCACCGAAACCGTAACAGAAATCGATGAATAAACGTGCGGAGACAGAATTTTGATATCGGAATTACACAAAGAGAGCAAGAATTTGCGTGAATTATCAAAACATTCACAATTCACACATATCAATGAGATTAACTAACATTAACGAACGGTCCTTAGTTATCACTCAAAAATCTAAACCCTACTGATTCATTACAAGAACCAATCAGCGACGATATATCAAATAAACCTAAATATCTCAGGATCATACCATGATTTGCACAATTAACTTCAGTATTCCAAAATTTACATAAGATTCGAGGATTTCTTAACTTTCATCTTCCATTTTTTATAGAACTCGCACACTTTCCCGCCGGAGTTAATAAATCTCGTCCAGAAACAACTTAATCCAAGTAATAAATCAAAATCAATAAACCTAAACGACGCATATGACAAACGAATTCAATTTCAATGTATACACACACAAACTACGCAAATTTCATGAAGAGAAACTAAAAGGTTTACCAAATGGAATTGAAGATTAAGTGAAAGCGCGGGACCGACTAAATCTCTGACTTGAAGAACAGCTTCTTCAACAGAATTATCAAGGTTATCGATAATGGTGACCTTAAATCCTTGATTCAGAAGTTGCACAACTGTGTGCGTCCCTATGAATCCAGCACCTCCCGTGACTAAAATCGACGAATCCATAACAGAAATTGATGAACAATCGTTCATAGAAAAGAATTCTGGTACCGGAATTACTCGAAGAGAGCGAGAATTTGCGTGAATTTTGTCAGAGAAATGGTGGAAGAGTAGTGGGATGGAGACGTCTTCTTGGATAAGCGCGCAAATATTTACAACACGCAAAAAGTGAACAAGTGGATTTGTTAGCCAACTTTTTGGTGTAATGGAGGGAAAATAATATACACATTAAACTTTTTTTTAGTTTTTTTTAAGTTATATTTTCTAATAAGAAAAAACAATATTTTATCTATATTATATTATAAAGCATTTAACAAAAACTCTTAAAAATTATTTTTTATGTGTAAAATATTGTTTATTAATGCATATTACTTAAAACTCAAGATTATAAGTAGATTGTGCGTAAGTACAACTTATTAAAGCTCCATATCTGAATTCGTGTAACTAACTTAAACATAATCAAATACATAATAAACATCTCATTTTTAATATAAAAAATCTAAAATATAATTACGATAATCATTGAGTTCTAACAGAATACTTAATTATTATCTTTATAAAATGTTATATTATTAAACAAAAAATAAATTATTTCGTTACTAACCGTAAATTAAATTATACTTTAAAAAATAACTTAAATAAATTGCATAAAAAATGTGAACTTTTAAATAGTTGATTTGATATTAATATTGATATATATATATTTTTTTCAAATTTTTATGATATATTCAAATTTATATTTTATTCAAAAATAAAATCATTATTGTTTTATTAAAAACACATAAAATCGTATTATAACATCGACATAGTCAAATAATAAAATTGAACATTAAAATCGAGATGTGTCCCCCTACATTACACGAGTACTCTTCTAGTTATATTTAAATTTATATAATTATTTTAATCACATTCATAAAATTGTATTATTACAAAATAATTGGGTGAAAATTTACAAAAAAATTATTAAGACCCTGAATACACGTAAATTTGGGCCTCAAAATTTCAGGGACCCTATTTAAAATCTCACACTTAGCATGATAGATAATGACACATGTTAAAAACATTTTCAACCATCATTTATAATTTACTTTTTATTTTTATTAAATATAAATTTTAATTTTTGCATTAAAATCTACATTCTTGATTTATAATAAATGTTTGCATCTCGTCACATTATAAAGATACAGAATAACTGTACATATTCAAAGAGTTTCGATTGAGAACCATGTAAATGTTATAAATCATATGAAACAATCTTAACCATCTATCTAACCTAATGAACATCTGGTTTTATAAATATCTCGATTGCTTCTTAATTTAAAAACAATTGTCATAATAAATTAACTCCATCTTTTTCCATAAAATATTTGGATCTTTATGAATGAACTTTTATCATTTTTCATAAGGCAAATTGCATGAAAAAGTAACGTACTTTAACTTGATTCTTATTTTGGGTAACGTACTTTCAAAACTTACATATTGGTACCTAAGTTGTAAAGTTTTAAACATTTAAGTACTCGAGTAACTTGTTGAAGCATTAATAACGTACTTTAGCTTGATTCATATTTTGGATAAAGTACTTTCAAAACTTTCATTTTTGGTACATAAAATGTAAAGTTTTAACATTTAAGTACTTAGGTAACGATTGAAAGATTAAGTAACGTACTTTAACTTGGTTCCTATTTTTGGTAACGTACTTTCAGAACTTCCATTTTGGTACCTAAGATGTAAAGTTTAAACATTTAAATACTCGGGTAACTGGTTGAAACATTAACCAATTAACATGCTGATGTAGCGAATGATGATATGAAACTAGGTTGGATAGCAAATAATATTGAGTTGAGTACCACATCATCAAGGTAAACGGATTAATGCATCAACCGATTACCCGAATACTTAAATGTTTAAAACTTTACATATTAGATACAAAAATAAAAGTTTTGAAAGTACATTACTCAAAATATGGATAAGTTAAAATGTGTTACTTTTTCATGCAATTTACCTTTTTTCATACAAATCTAGACTGTTTTCTTAACATAACTTCTGTAACATCTATATGATCTGTATTTAAAACCTCCCATCTATATAATTAGATGTTCGTTATCGAAAGTTTACGTGTACGAAATAATTTGTCGTTAAATAGACAATATAATTGCGATATAGATTTTTGACAATAATTGGTTGACACTAATTGTGGACCCATGTGTTTTTAATCTGAATATATATTATTTCTATAAAAAAAATAGATATTAAATCTATATAAATATATGTATTTATGAATCTAAGTTATAAATTATTCATATGAATACAACATTAAATGGATTTTTTCAATAATTTATATGTGAATATAAAATTTCAAAACGTAATATTTTTTTTCAAACAATCTTCTACACAATGTTTTGTTAGTTAGTTAGCAGCTTAATAGGGCTCATAGCTTATTCGGTCAATTATACATGATTATTTGGTAGTTGCTTAAAGAAATAGAAAATAATTTATTCAATAAGCATTTAGAGGAAAACTTTACGCAGAAAGACAGGTTTTTTTCTCCATATTTACCCATCCCAATTAAAAAAACACGTTCCTTAAATATATATGGAAACCTCTACCAAGCAAAAACCTTCTCAGTCTATACAAACAGATTAATCCATATAGACAACTTTTTTCCAAAAAGGACTTGGGAGACGATTTGGTTGGTTTTCCATCAAGTAAAGTTGTCTGTGTGGATTTTGTTTGTATATATTGAAAGAGTTTTTCATAGATGTAAGGAACGTGTTTTTCACTTAGAAGGGGTAGGTTTTG